GCACTCACTAATCGCCCATTTGTCCAAAAATCATGCGCCCAACATATCGCCAATTCTAGCAACCACAAAACATGTTGGTGACTCGAAGAGCTTTGTCGCAAACCCAATCTTCTTGAGAAGGTATCGTGAGCTCATACCACCTGGTATCATATTCATAGCCGTAAATGCACTCTTGAAATAAATTATGTAAAATTATTAATATAACACTGTAATAAATTAAAAACTAAAATTTAAAGCTTCTCCAGTTTTTTTGTTTGTACCAAATTCTAGTTAAATTAAATCGTTAATTCATAAATATTAAATTAATTATGAGTAAAACTTCTCGAATACTGCAGTATTGTAAATAAACTATTATGCCAAAAAAATTATAAATACAATTTTGACTTAAATTTTTATTAGTTTTTAAGATGCATATTAGTACCCGGATCTGTACTCAAAACTCGAGTTCCTTAAATTGGACTATTGTGCTTTTCATATATGTTAATCTAGATTCAAGGTCGTGTATATTTAATTTTGTAAATTTAGAGCACAAGACTAATCTAAGCTCTGCCATAATTGTCAGTTGGAATTATGAAGCTTTGTCACGGCAATAAACTTCCGCCATCCCAAGCAAATATGACAAAAAAGTTATATAATTACAAAAAAATATGAAATAACATCAAATATTATAAATTCTTACTTGTTATTGAATAATTATAATCCAGATGGAGGTCACTAGCATCTGTGATATTGTACATTTTACAGGAACTTGGAGCTTCTATACCTTTATTATTGATTTCTCTGCAATATCGGATTGGATGATTCAATAAAATAATACAATATTAATAATTTGCATTCAGTTGAACTAAAACATTTTATTCTGTATTGGGCGCACTTTTGGTCATAAATATGGTATATATGAGCACTATTCAATCCTTTTGGGATAACTTTAAAAAATAAGTAAACAATTTAGAAACTTACTTTGGTAAAGTGAGATTCTTCCATTCGTCTATAGTATAATTTGTAAATTCTCTTCCGGGAACATGACACCAGTGATCTGGTACAGATAAGGCCAAAATAATATTCATACAAGGCATGGCTGCTACAATTGCAAATATTAGATTGTACAAATAATTGAATCTTTTCTGAAATGGTCCATTATTTCCAACGGACTGCATTACAGTGTCAAACATTGCATCTCGTTTTCCCATTTTCAATAAATTTTCTAAAATAAACATACATGGAAAAGAATTATTTAAAATCCTGCAGAACATTGATTTTACTTGATGACAAGATTCTGGTCATTTATTTCATTCTAAAATTTCCAGGATAATGACTAAACATTCTATTGACTCAAACATGCAATTGTTGGAGATCAGGTCTCTTTTGGAGTCAAAAATGAGTGCATCACATATACATATTAGAACATGGCATTTTTACGAAAAATAAACTATACCTAAGATAGTAAGGACAATTAATGGATTGCCTTCTGATAACGATATTCTTAATAAGCAATGCTTAATGCATTCGGTTTGCTCTAAATAACAAACAAACAAAAAATACATTGAATCCAAATTGTTCAAATTTCATACTTTACCAAATATGAAGATATTTTGAACCTTTACCAGATATGAAGCAAAATTGCATATCTATTATAAATAAATATTTCAGTTCTGAAACTTCGGCAATATTACATTCCAAAGCTTTCAGAACTGTCTGTTGTAATCTTAATAAAAATTTAACCATGATATCTTCAAATTATGAAGGACGTCGTTTTTACTCATATAATTATTCAGATAAATCAACTGCATCGACATGTAATTCATGAACCATGATTCGAATACAATTGTGAGATAACGAAGTGATAATGGGAAATTATGAACTATCTGTTCTATCTGTTCAGGTAGTGTAAGTCATCAAAACATTGAACGTGATTTATATAATCTATACACTGAATGATGAGAAAAATTTTGTAGCGATCACTTAGCATTTCTTGATTTGCTGAGAGTTTTCCTAAATTGTTACCATAAAGTTTACCATTATCCTAGCGGTGTCGATCAAAAAATATATATATATATATATATAATATATATATATATTATATTCATCATATTTTTCTATGGAAATACATTTTCTTGTTGCTGACTGCCTGATATCAATTTTCATAATATAGATCGAAAATATGCTAAATATTAGTGAAAATATTAATTAAAAACATAAATATCGAACGACTATTGGACAAAACTCCATCATTTTTTGCAAATTCAAACATATTGACATTACCTTAGTTGATATATTGCTGAAGTTGAAGATTATAGACCTACTACTTTTTAACTTGATTATTTTCTCAAACCCTATCGTATTTTTATTCTGCTGTACTATTTCAATACACTATATAAAAATAATGCAACTCCTTGTATTTCAGTTATACCGGTTGAATTATTTCACAAAAATAAATTGTGAATTGTAACTGTGTAAAGCTTTTATTCACTCGAAATATTTTGAAGTTTTTTTTTTTAATTATTGTAATTATAAATTAAACAGTAGTAAATTATTGTATAAGAATAATTTGTATGCCTAAATTTAAACTACAATTAATTCTTTAATACACTTCACACAACTAAATTGTTAGTAGAGATTGGTGGTGTCACTAATCCAACAACTCACTCATTAACTCATATCGCCACAACTGGCACAACTGGAACAAGATCTTGTCTATTATTTGATGACACTCGGTATTAAATGGTTCGGTCACGATAATTATATAAATTTCTTGAATAAAAAAAGCATCTTTACATTTGATAACGAATATTCTGCAAATAAAAACAATCTGTGTGTTTAGTATTGTGTTTATTGCCGTGTATAACATGAATTTGTTTCGGTGCATTCATGTTTTAATTTTAATAATCTGCTCCGTTTTGTAATATGTATGCAACTAGTACGGCACGTTGACTGATAATAATAATGATTTAAATTACAGTAGTCATCATATTGGTCTTTTTATATAGATATAGATAAATATTTATTAGATTATGATAAGGTTGCTTGTAAAGTTAGTTCTTAACTATCACATTCATATATTTTATAAAACATTCAGTTTATTTATGATTGATCAGATCAGATTCTGTTTTTTTTTTTCCCTAAGGAAAAAAGTTTTGTTTTTATCAAAAAAATCCAAATTGCTAATTTATGTTTTCTCGACTCGTCAAGAGCTATTCTGAATCGAATGAGACCGAATTTAGAAAAAGTATGTGTGTGTGTGTGCGTGTGTATATGCATGAATAGATTGTTTGCCGTAAATCGACGTCGAGTTTCTCCAAAAACGGCCATTTCGAAAATTTAAAAGCAAATTTAATGATGCTCATTTATTCAATAAGGACTAGCGTTATCAATTTTTACGCGACGATCAGCCAAGCCGTTTCTATGTAAATAGCAGAAAAGTGAAAAAAATTTAGAATAAGTTTTACCTTTTTGTTAATGAGGTATCTAATGTAGTTTCCCTTTTGTGAGTTTTTTTAAAAGTAGTTAAGTAGATAAGTGAAAATTACTCTGACTTGCTTCCGAACTTTTTCAAATTCCAATTCATTTGCAATAGATTGATCCACAATTTCAGACATAGTAGTCAAAGACTTATTCATTCACAAACATCATTATCAGACATCATAGATAATGAATTACAATTTTATTTAATACGAATAGTTTACATTAAATTCTTATCAGGGCTTGACAAACAACCCATGGTTTTTAATATTAAAATATCTATGTATTAATAGAATACACAAGAATAATAAAACTAACGTTTATTATTGGTCAGAATTGCCAATATACCTACTCCTTTTTCGTTAACACGGTTTTAAGAATAAAATACTTTTTACAAATACTTGCTTATATTATTTATTTTATAATAAAATAATTTTTACAAATACTAAATATATTGGAGAAATTAATATAATACATAACATTAATGGAATATCACTTTTTATATCTTACATAGGTGTCATGATATTGATTTGAATTTCTTAGAATAATTACATTCTAACAATAATTAATAACTATCTTATAAATAATTAAATTTAAGAACATTGGAAAGAAATTGGCTCTACTTATTTTCTAATAGTTAAATATTAATCATCACAAATCACTCAAAATATCCATAAGCATTCCTCATTTTCTCATAAATTTACATTTGTTTTTTAAGGATATGATATCTTCATTTTTTCATCTTGAAGAAGGATATCGTGATTATTTTTCTTTGGCAATGCCCAAAATTTTTGATCTGAACCAAAAACTTGGGCGTCGGCTAATGTTTCGGGTAGTTTCTGATGTAATGTTTCAGGTGAAAGTAATTGGGCAGTCAGTCCAATTAACATGAGTAAACTTAAGATCAGATATGGGTATCGAGCGTCGTAAGCAGTTCCCTGAAAGATTATAAGTCAAGTTATAATAAATGAATTTTAGTTACTAACATATAAACTATTTGAAAATGGTGAAAAATCTAATTGCGAACGATTGCTTATTTCTAGGTCTTTTATTTTTACGCTGTTAGTGGGCATTTAAATAAGGTCTTCTGTAACTATGATTTATTTTATTAATTTTTGAACGGTAACCAGTTCGATTTTTGAAATTATTGCAGTAAAATCTCTTAACGCTATATTGGACTGGTGACTATTTGGCACTATATTTTCCAATGAAAACTGATATCACTACTGACTGATATCAGGGTATTCATAGTCCATATTTGAACTCATCGTTATAAAGTCAAACGCTTCGAGATTCTTTCCCCCAAATTTTAATGTTTGTGTGATTTGCCAATTATTATTTCGAGCTATTCAAGAATAAATGAATGTTCATTTACAGCCAGCTTTATCTCGATAATATGTAAATTTAGTAGATCATTGTCAGTTGAAGATATTTAATTATCATTGAAATTTAAGGAAGATTCAAACTATTTTTTGCTTACTTACTTCAAAATAAAACAAATTTTACAACTTTAATAATAATATTGTTTTATTACCAAATATACGACATACGGTCCAACAACTCCGAGAGCATTGCCTGATAGTACTCCCAAGGCAATCCCAGTTTGTCTCAAGCATGTTGGATAAATTTCAACGCCTTGTACCATCATCACATAAAATGATGTGCTTATGCAGAATTTTATTAGCACTGTTAGAACACTAGTATAAATATGTAGTTCCGGATCTGGAATAGAGAAGGCATCTTTAAAGAAAATACTTGTGTTTGTTCAAAATAAAATAAGATATATCGACAAATCAACATATTACTTTACTGTTGAGGTTAGTGCAGTTACAAACTGTTCAGGCGATTTAATAAGTTAAAAGTAATAGAGAGAAAAAAACATAATATATAGTACAAAACAAAATCTGTTAGATAACTTATTTATTTAATATCAATTTCAAATTCTCTTGTTATTCATAAAAATCGATACAAATTTAGTAGGTACCTGAATAAAATTTTAGAGCTTGTTTATAATAGTTTGTTTAGAAAAATAGTACGAATAATAATAATCATTATTACATACTTATGATATTGTTGTACAACATAAGTGATTGAAATTACCTAATGTCGTATGAAGTAATGGCAACGATACAATAAATGCAACAGAGAAGGCCATGACCGCTGTCCATCTTCTTCCAATATTATTGGTGGCCCATTTTCCAAATATATATGCCGGCATCTCGACTAGACCCTGGTATAAATAATTTAAGAATGGATTTCCGTCCATATTGTTTACATTCAGAATCAACAAAAAATAACTAAGACCGCCCACGATCCTGGAATTAAAAGTATCAGCTATTAAAAATCATGACTAAAGTATTCAAGCAATTAAAAAACGTAGCTATTCAAAATAATTAAATTAATATTTAAATTAGACTATATTGATTTACCAGCATGTAACAATCATAATAGTATTTCTTGCTAATCTCCAACTTGAAAACAAACTCATAACCCCATATATTTTCTCAGGGTTACTGGAATGTATTTTCAGCATTTCCAATGCATCATCGTTTAATGTAGTGCCATTAACTTTAGCGATTCTTCTTAACATTTTTTCACATTGTACCATTTTTCCTCGACTTGCCAACCAGCGCGGGGATTCAATCATATATCTGAAAGATTATATAAAAAATAAATATAAGCCATGACACTTTTTTCATATGATACATGACGTAATGTCCCTTACATAAAAGTCGGTGTTCATATTTTTAATTAATGAAATAATTGATGATTAAATATTACTTTTGCATACTAACTTGTTGCTTATCAGAAACATAGCAAAAGGTAATGATGTTGCTATTACGAAGTAGAACCAATTTCTCAGCCACCACATTACTAATGGCATTAGACATATTCCAACTGTCCATCCAACGTTTTGCAACATTGCTATATGCGAATTATCCTCACTAAAAGTACAAGAAACGTTACAATTTTTTTGAGATTTAAAACAAGCAGAAGAAAATATAGTATGTTACCTTTTTGATATCTCCATTCCAATAACCATAACGGTCTGGAATAAAGGCATTTGTGTGAGTGCTCCGATAAGTGCACCAAAACTGTACCAAGAATACCATCTCGTTAAGAATAAGTTAATTACTTTCCCCGTTATTATCAGAACTAAACTCATGTAAAATACAGGTCTTCTGCCTAATCTGAAAATTGAAGTTTGAAATATTATTATAACACTAATAAAATAGAAATAATTATATAAAGTTTTTTTATAATTCATAAATATATATTTAAGATTACTCCCAACATGCAATATAATTATTCATAAAATGCTAGACCTATATTTATATTATATCTATATTATTAAATTCCCGTAGGGTAATTAACTTCCCGTAAGATAAGTTATGGTAATGGGCCGAAAATCGAAATTGAAAATTTTTACATTTCTCGACGTTTTGAAGGTTTCTTGAAAAAAGGATGTGTGTGTGTGTATGTATGTATGTATGTATGTATGTATGTATGGATACAATTTTTCGTCCACGTTTTTGGGCGCACGGATCAACCGATTTGAATGCTTCAAAAAACATTCGATTCCTATTGATAGGGAGATGTGCTGATTAGTTTTTGGCAAAGGCAGGTCCAGCCGATTAGGAGATACCAAGCAAAAAGTGCAGAAAATAGAAATCGTGTTTGAGAGATCGGAGTGTCCGATTTGTATGATCCCAAAAACATTCAATTCGTAATGACGGGGAGAAGGGGTGATTAGTTTTTTTGGTACAGGCAGGCCCAGCAGTTTTGGAGGTACAGAGCTAAATGTGCAAAAATAGCAGTTTTTGAGAGAACTAAGCGTCCGATTTGAATGATTCCAAAAACTTTCTGCTTGTTTTAACTAAATAA